ATGGTGAGAAGCATGATAAGTTACTCTTCTTTACCGATAAGTTTATGGATGGAGGCGTTGAAAACCACCATTCATATTCTCAATCGAGTGCCAAGTAAGGCGATGCCCAAAACACCGTATGAGTTGTGAACAGAAAAGAAACCCTCGCTAAACTATTTATGTGTGTGGGGTTGTCCAGCTGAGGTAAAAGTATTTAACCCAAACATAGGGAAGTTGGACTCTAAGACAGTCAGTTGCCATTTCATTGGCTATCCAGAAAAGTCAAAAGGTTATCGCTTCTATTGTCCTGACAGACAAACGAAGTTTATAGAAATAAGACATGCTGTCTTTTTGGAGGAAGATATGATCAGGGGAGCATGGTAGCGCTTGAAATTAGTTTTGAAGATAAGCGGATATACGTGCCCACTCCTATTGTTCAGGAGCCATTCTTCACGCTACCTGTTGTTGCTGTACCAACAGTGCAAGACACTATAGTAACAGCACCTGTTGTTAGTTCTCCTATGGCAACAATGAATGAATATGAGGAACCTGTCCTTCAGGATCCCCATAGAACCCGTTGTCACACATGAGGGAGAGCAACAACAGCCTCATATAGAACAAGCGTCATCTAACGAGGTCCCTAGAAGGTCTCAAAGAGTCAGGAGATCAGTCATTCCTGATGATTACGAAGTTTATAAATGTAAGAAATTTCAAATGGAGAGTGATCCCACCTCATTTGAAGAAGCCATGAGAAGCACTCACTCATCCAAGTGGCTTGAAGCCATAGAAGATGAAATGAAATCAATGAAAACCAACGGTGTTTGAAACTTAGAAATAATTCCTAAAGAAGCCAAGACAGTAGACTGTAAATGGGTCTACAAAACTAAACATGACTCCAAAGGAAATATATAAAGGTTTAAAGCACAACTTATGGCGAAAGGTTTCACACAAAGAGAAGGCATAGATTACAATAAGACATTTTCTTCGGTCTTAAGTAAGGATTCTTTTAGAATTATAATGGCGCTTGTAGCACATTACGACTTAGAATTACATCAGATGGATGTAAAGACGGCGTTCCTAAATGGGGATCTGGAGGAAAATGTTTACATAGCACAACTGAAAGGTTTTGTTGTGGAAGGAAAAGAACATATGGGATGTCGTCTGAAGAAATCCATTTATGGATTAAAACAAGCTTCAAGACAGTGGTATTTAAAGTTTGATAGTACAATAAGAAAGTTTGGGTTTCAAGAAAATATAGAGGACAATTGCGTTTATGCACAGTTCAAGAATGAGAAATATATTTTCCAAGTCTTGTATGTGGATGACATCTTGCTCGCTAGCAGTGATGTTAATCTACTACTAGAAACAAAGAAGTTCTTGTCCTTAAAGTTTGATATGAAGGATCTCGGTGAAGCTTCGTTCGTCCTAGGAATAGAGATTCACCGAGATAGAGAAAAATGGGTTTTAGGATTATCACAAAAGGCATACTTAGAAAAGTTCTAAAGAAATACAGTATGCAAAATTATAAGTCTTCACCTGCTTCCATAGTCAAGGGCGACAGATATGGGAAATTTCAATGTCCCAGGAACTAATATGAGATCGATCAAATGAAAGTGGTTACATATAGTTCAGCTATTGAAAGTTTACAGTATGCTTAAGTGTGTACTCGCCCTGACTTAGCATTTGTTACCGGGTTACTTGGTAGATATCAGAGTAATCCAGAAATAGAACACTGAAAATTAGTAAAGAAAGTTTTACGTTACCTGCAAGGTACGAATGGTCTCATGCTAACGTACAGAAGATTTGATTCCCTGCACATAGAGGGGTATACAGATTCTGATTATACGGGAGATGACAGAAAGTCCACGTCAGGATACATATTCACTCTCGTAGGAGGAGCTATATCGTGGAAAAGCTCAAAGCAAACCGTCACTACATCGTCCACAATGTATGCCGAGTTTGTAGGATGTTATGAGGCCACGGGACAGGTGAATTGGCTGAAGAAATTCATGCCCGGGTTGAAAGTGGTAGATGATATAAATAAACCACTCAAGTTATACTGCGATAATAATCCAACAGTATGTTATGCTCACAACAATAAGTCAAGTGATGCTACCAAACACATTGACATAAAGTATTATGTTGTAAAAGATAAAGTTTGGAAACATATAATTAGTCTTGAGTATATAATAACAGAAAATATGCTCGCGGATCCGCTTACAAAAGGCTTACCAACCAGCGTGTTCAGAGAACACTTAGCCGGCATGGGTTTAAGGGAAAGCCTATGATTCCTGGTGAAAGGTCCTAATATAGCTAGAGGGGGGTGAATAGCTTATTTAATAAATCTACAAATCAACTAGAGCAATTTGATTAGTATGACAAATAGCGGAATGCAAAGTTGCTCTAGCTCTACAAGGGTTGCAAGCCACTTATTCAATAATTCTAGTTGCAATGATTAATACACACACAACTTGCTTTGATAATACTCACTAAGAGCTCTCAATCTTGCTACACTAAAGAGCTCCACTAGATGAACTTAAATGATAAAGTAAGCTCTCAATTCTAATTACACTAAAGAGCTTACTATAACTAGTTTGCAAGAATGTAAATTAGTGAGTAGAGTGATTATACCGCCGTGTAGAGGAATGAACCAATCACAAGATGAAGATTAAGCCAATCACCGGGAGAATACAAATGACAAGAGACAACCGATTTTCTCCCGAGGTTCACGTGCTTGCCAACACGCTAGTCCCCGTTGTGTCGACCAACACTTGGTGGTTCGGCGGCTAAGAGGTGTTTCACAAACCTCGTCCACACAATAGGACACCACAAGAACCTACCCACAAGTGAGGTAACTCAATGACACGAGCAATCCACTAGAGTTATCTTTTGGCGCTCCGCTGGGGAAGGTACAAGTCCCCTCACAATCACCGGAGATGGCCTCAAACAATCACCAACTCGAGCCAATCCTCCTCCGCTGCACCAAGCTGTCTAGGTGGTGGCAACCACCAAGAGCAACAAGCGAAATCCGGAGCAAAACACGAATACCAAGTGCCTCTAGATACAATCACTCAAGCAATGCACTTGGATTCTCTCCCAATCTCACAATGATGATGGATCAATGATGGAGATGAGTGGGAGGGCTTTGGCTAAGCTCATAAGGTTGCTATATCAATGTAAATGGCCAAGAGAGTGAGCTTGAGCCGGCCATGGGGCTTAAATAGAAGTTCCCATGAAATAGAGCCATTGTACCCCTTTACTGGGCACAATGTGGGATGACTGGACGCTCCGGTCCGATCGACCGGACGCTGCCCCTTAGCGTCCGGTCACGTGATACACGCCACGTGTCCCCTGTTTCAAATACTGTTCGTCAGATTTCAACGGTCATCTTGTTGACCGGACGCAGCAGACAAACGCACCGGACGCTGAACCTCCAGCGTCCGGTCATTTCCAGTAAGGTTCCAAAACTGATTTTTCTCCACCGGACGTGTTCGATCGCCCTTGACCAGACACAGCCAACGTCCGGTCACTCAGCAACTTTTTGGCGCGCTGTCTGACAGCATGACCGGACGCAACCTTTCAGCGTCCGGTCGCTGAGCGACCCAGCGTCCGGTCATTTGACCAACGCCAACGTCTTTGCCGCAACACTTGACAGCGAGACTGACTCCTTTTCACCTCTATCTTCTTCACCCTTGCTCAAATGTGCCAACCACCAAGTGTATCACCTTATGCACATGTGTTAGCATATTTTCACAAACATTTTCAAGGGTGTTAGCACTCCACTAGATCCTAAATACATATGCAACGAGTTAGAGCATCTAGTGGCACTTTGATAACCGCATTTCGATACGAGTTTCACCCCTCTTAATAGTACGGCTATTAAAACTAAATGTGATCACACTCTCTAAGTGTCTTGATCACTAAAACAAAATGGCTCCTATAATTTATACCTTTGCCTTGAGCATTTTGTTTTTCTCTTTCTTCTTTTCCAAGTTTAAGCATTTGATCATCGCCATGCCATTACCATCATCATGATCTTCACCATTGCTTTACCACTTGGATTAGTGCTACCTATCTCATGATCACTTGATAAACTAGGTTAGCACTTAGGGTTTCATTAATTAACCAAAACCAAACTAGAGCTTTCACCTGGACAATAAGGGCCTAGTTGAGAATCTGTTTCAAAATAGAGAGGTGCATTGTAGCTATTTAATCTAATGGTAACTGACCGTGATGATGAGGCACGCTCTATGCACTAATCTGTGATAGAATGGGAACAAGATAAAGTAAGTAAGTTGAGTTTAAGTCATAAGATGAGATCAAGGGGGAGAATGTTAGATGATCTCCAACCAATTGGCCCAACAGCTAATTGGGTCTTTGGATCCGTGCCCAGATCGGGGGCGTCCAACCGTTCCCTGGTTGATGGGCCCCCGTCGCACAACGCCATAAAAAAGGAGGTGTGGACCGGGGCACAAGGCACGAGGTTCACCTGAGCCGCCAGATGCCCCACCTACAGTCCCAAAACCCTAACCGATCTAAGAGAGGGTGCTGCCAGCGACGGAAAGACCGCTACCGGCTGCCGCCGCCTTTGCACCGTCGTCACAGCGACAACGCCTTCACCATTGGGCTTCACCGCACCACCGTCAAGCAACCCCATCGCCTGCTCGTCTTCTACGAAGGCGGCAGATGGTTTGCACCTCCTCAACCCCTATCTCTCTCTCACTCTGTCTGTTAATTCCGTACTAGCACATGTTCTAAGGTTTACACTTCATCAAATATCAGTAGGTTTGCTAGATCTATGGCTAGTGATCCTGTAATGTTTCTATCATGAATGTCTGAACCATGAATGTCTGAACGACCGACGCCGGAGTGCACGGGCGATCCATTGAGCCACCGCCGCACCGGAGCCCGGAGGCATTATGCGAGGAGAGGATGGAACGTGCCCCGATCCTGTTCATACGAACTCGTTCCAGCAGCTGGTGCGTTGCCTGGGAGTGAGAGGGGAACGGTGGCATGATGAGATGGGAGAAGAGGACCGCACTACCGTTGCCATGGACGCCGCCACCAACGTCTCCATGGAGCTGGATGTCCTCGACTGCCCCATCTGCTCGGAGCCCCTGCGCCCTCCGGTATTCCTGCTACGTAGTACATTCGTGTCATGTTCCCTTCTCCCCCCAGAATCAACACCGCCATCGATCATCACAAGGACAAAATTCATGCGTTGATGCGTTGTCGTCGCCGATGATGTCCTCGGTCCAGCTCCAGCCAGCCAGCCACGCACTGTTGTTGCCTTACGTGTGCGTGGCGCGGGCGTATGACTCCGAGTCTCCGACAGAGGTCCTGCGCAATGTGAGCTCGTGACATGTCGCCCAACCAGCGGTCTGCTTGCCAGCATCTTTTGCCGCCGCCTAGCTGTACATCGACTTGAACAAATTGAACGACCTCAGTCCCCAAATAATAATCGCTATGGTTTTCATGTGGATTAAATATTTTTTAAAATCTAACTAAGTTTATAGAAAATATTAATAGTATTTATATCTCTAAATAAGTTTATTCTGACAATAAAATCAACAATCTAATGATACTAATTATATAATATAAATATTAATATTTTTCTTATTTATACTTGTCAAACTTTAAAATTATTGACTCATCAGAAAACGAGAACGACACTTGTTTAGTGACGGAAGGAGTAGAGTGCCTTCCTACTGATGTTTGATGGTGATGGTTTACATTTTTTTCTTCTGTGTTCTCACCCATGCAGTTAGTAATGAGTGAATGAATAAACAACCAAATACTAAATTTATTAAAAATATTAGCAATATTTATATCACTAAATAAGTTTATTACGAAGATATGTATTCATGTTACCCCTTTATTATAAATTGTAAGTCGTTTTGGTTTTGCTAGATACATAACTTTTATTATGTACTTCGTATGTAGATATGATGTATATTTAGATGCGTAACAAAAACTATGTAACTAAATACTCCCTCCGTCCTAAATTATAAGTCGCTTTGATTTTTTTGGTACATCTATTTTGCTATGCATCTAAATATAATATTATATCTAGATACATAGCAAAATGGGTAAACCAAAAAAATCAAAATGATTTATAATTTGGAATGGACGAAGTAAGCTAAAACGACTTATAATTTGTAATTGGAGAATACCTGTTATGCATCATAAATATTAATATTCTTTATATAATTGATCAATTTTGAGGACGCTTAATTTGACATCTCGGAAAGTAATAATAACACTCTTTTTTGAACAGAGTACATACTTAGGATGCATGGCCAGTTGAGTAAACCATTGTGCTCATACTGTTTTTTATATGCATTTCTCAGTGTGCTGTGGGGCATCTCAGATGCTCATCCTGCCATGGCAAGCTCCCAAAAGGAAGAAATGCCACTACTGCTCTCGCAAAAAGCGTCGTCTACGAACGCAGCTACGGGATAGAAAAAGTCCTTGGATCCATCCAAGTCCCTTGCTACTACTCAAAGGCAGGTCACGCAGAGGCATGCCCGCACGCGCCGTGCTTCTGCCCGGAGACCGGCTGCGGCTTCACCGGATCAACCGGGATGCTCCTCGCGCACTTCACCACCGAGCATCGCTGGCCCTCCGTGAGGTTCAGCTACGCGCGGTCCTTCTCCGTCGACGTGCCGCCGGTGCAGGAAGCGGCGCACGTCGTCGTCGTCCTCTCCGGCAAGGACGACGACGGGTGCCTGTTCCTTCTCGACGTGACGCCAGCTGCGCCGCTGGGCTGCGTCGTCTCGGTGTTCTGCGTACGGCCGCGCGACGACGAGACGAAATTCCGGTGTGGTGTGTCGTTGACCTACTCGGAGACGGAGAACAGCTCGTTCCATATACAGTCTTCGGAATTCGAAGTGCCAAGCACGACGCTCGCGGATGGGATACCGCGGGAGCGGGACTGCTCCATGTCCGTTCTTGTGCCCAGATTCTGTCTGGAGAAGGACGGCAAAATCTGTGTCACTATGAACAAGGCCTTAGCCTGAAAAACCAGCCGCGCACATCACGGCTGGATCAGAGCAGCGGTTATACATACATTTTATTATTCGCCTATTCGCCTTCTGATAATGACAAGTGTATTGCCTCAAATAAGTAGTAGTAGTGTTTAGTTGCAATTTGCAACTACGCGCTAATCGTTTCCACTGTTATTTTGGCGGTGTGCAAGGGTCGTTCTGGATGTTATTTTTGGCGCTGAGAATATAAAAGAGGTTCGTCTGAGTTACACCAGGGTTTGGCACAAATTTCACGATTTTTGTTTCTATCGATGAACTCCGGTAAATATGCATATTGGTAATTTCGTTTTATTATCCAGATGATATCGTTTAGATTTTCAAATATTAATCAAAATCTCACAAAGTTTTAATAAATCTTGACAAAATTTCATTGATTTTAGTTCCAACCAGATCCCTCCAAGTATGGGAAAGGCTAGCGCCCGGACGTCCTGATGGGGACTAGCGTCCGGCCACCCGTGCCGCACGCCTGCTTCATGTGGGGTCTCGCGTCGCTCCATGTCCCGCGCTCCGTGTCCCACGCCCGTTCTGTCTCGATCTGTGCTCGCATGGTTTCCCACGCCTGCCGCTTGCGCCCCCTCCACACCCACGTGCATGCATACGGGCCCAATAGCTGTAGCAAACGATTGCTACTGATGGGGTCCACTGCAACATGTGCAACACTAGATCTACTTTTGCAATATCTAGAGGAAACGTTTGCAACATATGTCCGAAACAGTTGAAACACTTGCAACATACGTCTGAAACACGAGGAAAACATGTGTGTAGCCATTGCTAAACATATGCAACATCTAGATGAAACACTTGCAATATATGTGTGAAAACATTGGCAACATCGAGATGAAACACTTGCAACATAAGTGTAAAACATTTGCAACACCTAGATAAAACACGTAAACACCTGAAACATTTGGAATAGACGCTGCAATATATGTGTATAGCCATTGCAACATATGCAACATACAGATCTACTTTTGCAACATCCACATGAATATACTTGCAACATGCATATGAAACACCTGAAAACACCGAAAACATACGCATACAACACGCGCTTGCAACGTCCGAGGAAGGAATGGAGCGTGAGGTGCAGCCGGAGAAGCCCACTCTAGGTCTGGGCACTCCGGATCTAGTGATGTCGCGAGCTGAGGTCGAGCATCACAGCGGCGCCGGCGTCGAAAGCGGCCACGACCTCCTGGTGGGGAACGGCGGCATCGGCAGCACCTCAGCGCGGCGAGGGACGTGGCACGGCACGCAGGGGCGGGGACCGGGCATGGCGCAATGAGGCAGAGTAGGCGCGGCAAGGGATGGAGCACGACGCAATGGTAGACGTGGCGCTGCTCGATGCGAGATGGGGGCGCCGCCGCGAGGCAGCATGGGGCGGGCGAATGGCGCGGTGAGCTGCGACGAGCGAAGCGAGGTGTTGATGATTTCTGTTGGCTGTCGTAGTGTAGATGAACTAGATAAAGAAGAGAGCGTAGATAGGCCTATTAAGTTGGTCGTTGTGCTAGAGTAAGCGCGGAGCATAGCGTTTGATTTTTTAAGAATTTGATCGTATGTTTTGTAGCATTATGGTCCAGTATTTGTGTCGCTACCGGTAAGTCGAACCTGGTTGATACCTCGTCCGGCTTTCATTAGCAGCTTGATTTTTCTCTTATTCCATCCCAAAACAAATGCAATATTAGTTTTCTCCTAAGTCAAGCAACAAAATGTTCCTTTATCAACCTAATGATATACTAGTAAACATTGTTACTTATTTCATGATTTCATCAAACTTACAATGGTTTAGCATTGCAAATAGTACCTAGATATCCTTGTCCTTAACCTTGTGAGAAAATCTAACTTTATCGAAACAGGGACTACTCCCTTCGTTCTAAATTATAAGTCGTTTTAAGTTTTTTGTTCATCTATTTTGCTATGTATCTAGACATATTATTTATCTAGATGCATAGTAAAATAGATGTACAAAAAAGTCAAAGCGACTTATAATTTGGAACGGAGTGAGTGGATTATAACATTTAAAATTTATCTAAATTATAAGTGATTTTAGAGAAACTGACTCTTTAATTCAGTTTAAAAAGTCACCATTCACATGAATATTTATTATCTATGTTTAGTATCATCAATCTAAATATAATTATCACATTATTTTTTCACAATTAAGAGGGAGTTCTATGCGGCATTTATATTACCTATATAATATGTTGTCGAATAACTACCCTTGTAATGTAAAATGCCGTATAATTAACCTTACCCACTACTGTAATTACTCTTTTACGGAGTAGCACCCAAGAGCCGGGACAAAACGCGAGCACCCTCCTTCCCCCGCCGGGGTGCGACCGTGCGAGAGGAGACAGAAAACCGCCGCCGGGGCTGCGTCCGAGAGCCACTACCGGATCGCCGGATCCCATAGGCCCCAGACCCATAGTCCCGGTGAGCGTTCCGCACATTGCATCGCGTCGCGCTACTGCAACACCCAGTAGTAACTGTCGTCTTGCTAGATTAATTCATTTCTGATTTCTCTTGCTCGCAGTGGCCGGAGAAATCGACCCTTTCGGCCCTCCGGCCCCGTCGAGCTTCGCCGCCGCTTTGTCCGGTTCCCCTCTGCGAGGAGATCGTGCGTGACTTCCTGATTTAGGGCGGTAGGGAGATGAGCAACAGCAACGCGAGGAAGCAAACCGGGGAAACGCAGCAAGAAGAGAGAAGCCGTAAGAGGAAGGATCCGGATGGCGCCGCCACCAGCGTCACCGTGGAGCTTGAGGTCCTGGACTGCCCCGTCTGCTTTGGGCCCCTACAGCCTCCGATTTTTCAGGTACATCCGTTGCGCCCCATCGTTCATCACTAATTTTTTCTGTTCCTGTGTTGCAGTCTCCTTTTGTTACTGGTCGAAATTTAGATGTGAATTTGATTACAAAAAGAAATTCAGACGAGAATTATTTGTTACTGGTCGCTTCTGCTCTTTTTGGTAATATGGCGCTAAAAATGCTTTCCCGTCATTTAATCATATATAATGGCCGCAATTAGTATAACAGTCTACACACCATTTGGAGCACATTGATTTCACAGTAACCTATTCGTTTCATGTAGATAATAGTATGGGGAGAAATTTCCCCTTCGTAAATATGATCCAGTGTTTTGAGAAATCAACAAAACTTTGGGCTGGGTTTCTGGTTTTATGACGTCCTTGTTGGCGGTGCTTTGATCTCAAGACAACAGAAAACAACACCCAATAAGCTTGCATATTATTATCTTATTTCTTTTTTTAACAAGCCACTAAAGTTCCAACAACTGACATTTTGATTTGTGAGCACACTGCAGCAACCAATGCAGATAACAGGTCTTAAGAAAAATTGGTGCATTCAAGAAAATACTACTTCTATGCACCTGAAGACCACTATTACCATTTAGGCATTTACCAATCTTTAGCTTAAACGGGAATCGATGAATAAACAAGATATTGCAATTTCACCCAGAAGAAAAGGTTAGGTTGAGGTAGATGTGTTCAGTTTGTCGCAGACAATACTTTTAGCTATAACAACAGATAAATGTCCAAAGCCCTAGAACTTTGGCTAGGTACACATAACTGACTTTTGACTGATAACATGAAAATACCGAAAAGTAGGCGAAACTTGATTCTACTATTCTAGACATGAAGATTATGCTGCTGAATTTGGCCTCTTTAACCTACAATTTTTTTTGTTGAAACTTTTCTGCTGGACATTGTTGTCCTCTGCACAAGTGATGCTAAAATTCGCATCTACTCTGTATGCCTAAACATCGCTCTCGATGAACTCTATATTTCAAGGAAGAAGGGACTATTACTTATGAACCTACATGATGCCCTTTGTTGCAAAAAAAGGGGGAAAGATAACATGATGTTTTGAACAAAACTTGTTTGTTATGATTTGATGAACAGCCCAGGAGTGTTGTACTGTTGGTTTGCATTTTTGTCTATTTTCCTATCTACATATTAGGTTGAGCGAATGACTAACAGTTATAACAACAATGTAATACTTCTCAGGTCACCCAAGTTCACTTCCATGCAACTTCAAGTACCTGATATTTACTGTTCTACGAGCTTGTTAATTACTCCATCCGTTCCAAATTATAAGTCATTCTAAGAATTTTGAAGAGTCAAAGTATCTCAAGTTTTATAAAAACTTTAGAGAGAAATACAAAAATTTATGACATCAAATAGTTATACTATGAAAATATATTTAATGAAGAATCCAATGATACTTAGTTGATATCATAAATGTTATTATCTTATTATATAAATTTGGTCAAACTTGAGATGCTTTGACTCTTCAAGATTCTTGGAATGACTTGTAATTTGGGACGGAGGGAGTAGTAGGTTGTTTGGTTTGAGGAATGGGTTAGTCCATCATCCTCTCCCTTCTCACTTTTCTGTTTGGTTTGTGGAATGGGATGGGTTGATACATGATGCACTAGCTCATCTAGAATAGTTTGATTCCTCAAACCAAACACCCTATAAGTGCATAACTGAATTCTACTTGTTCATCCATGCTGACCTTGCAGCTATAGTTGCTTTATAAATTACATGCATAGGATGAGGTTGAGTCTTCCAACAACTAGTCTTAATTACTTCAGCAACCATAATGTTCATACTGATTTATTTCTAACTTGCAGTGTGCTGTGGGACATCTCATATGTTCATCCTGCTGTGGCAAGCTCCAAAAACCTAAGAAATGCCACCACTGCTCCCGTGAAAGCGAGTACGACCGCTGCCATGGGGTTGAAAAAAATCATTGAATCTATCCAAGTTCCTTGCTCCAACACGAAGTATGGATGCTCCATGAAGACAAGCTACTATGAAAGGGCAGGTCATGAGACAAAATGCCGGTACGCGCCATGCTTCTGTCCTGACAGCGGCTGCAGCTTCTCCGCCTCAACTGGACTGCTTCAAGAACATTTCAGCACAGAGCACCACTGGCCGTTCACCAAGTGCAAGTATGGCTGGTGCTTTTACGCCGATGTGAAGGAAGGTGTTCATGTCATCTCCAGCGAAGATGAACAACTGTTCCTTCGCATCATTGCATCAGAGCCATTTGGCTGTGTCATCTCAGTGTTCTGTGTGCAGCCTCATGATACTGAGCCGAAATCCCGTTGTGCTGTGACCTTCAGCTTCTGGAAGAACAACTCGTACCACAGCCAGTCTTCAGAATTCCAAGCGCCAAGCACGACACTTTCTGACAGTATACCAAGGGATCGTTTCCTGTTCATTTTGCCCAGGTTCTATATAGACGAGGACAGCAGAATCTGCGTCACTATGAAGAAGGATTCAGGATTTCAACATGAAAAAACCGACACCTTGGGTGCTGATTGTTACTCGTCATTATTTTCGCCTAAGGGCAAGTGAGACCCTTCAAAGTGATGAGTTAGTTACCAACCATATGTAAATGCCACTGTAGTGCATAGCAGCAAGTACCCCTGTCATCTGCCGGTTCCACCTTGTTAATTGCATTCTGGGAAAAATTATGTGTAGATGGGTTTTGATGCAAATATAGGTATCTAATTTGTGGTACACTTTTTTATTTATGTATTAATATTTTGGTAGGCCCGACATATACAACTCCTATATTTGCATCACTAAGACTACCTCCAACAAAGATCCATTTCATGTTTGGGTAGCACTATAGGCAAATGGTTCAACCCATTTTTGATCTTCTCCAACAACAAGATCTAAAAGAGAAACCTCTCTGCAAATAGGTCTCCACGAGAGAGGATACTCAGATTTAGTCTCCTGTATAGGTTCTCTGTTGGAGTCTGATACAGTACCATCGGAGACCCCTTTATGGGTCACTTGTTGGAGACAGTCTAAGATGTGTATATTTGCATCACTAAGACATGTATATGTATGTATAAAAACTTGTATGTGTTTGTTTTATTTTTTGTCAGGTTTTGTATTCAATGGTTGCTTGGTTATATTCGTCTAAAATTTAAATATCTACTCTATATTTAGTATTACGGGCGAAGGCACGTTGATCTTGGTTGGTGCCGATGCACCAGGGTAAGAAAAAAATTATCACTAACTAGATAAATTTTCACCATGTATTTGCTACCAGATTGTGTATGTCTCGTTAGCAGTGCACCATCATGAATTTAGAGTTGAATTCGCCACAGTTTAGTATCCAATTATTTTGAAAGTAACTTCGTTATTTGAAAATAGCCTTTACTTCTGGCTGCAGACCCTTCCCTCCTAGTGGCTCTGGCTCCTGTTGCGAGTGTGGTTCAACGCGATGCGGTTTGTTTTGGCGCTTCCATGGCTGGTCTGCCCTATCGTTGCTACAGTTGTGCTTCCTTAGGGCTACTTTGGAAGCAGCTTTCCCCGCCGGGATCCCGCCGTTTTCCCGGGGCAGGAAATCCACGCGGCAATTTTCCACGCGTCGCGGCTCGGGTCAATTTGGAAGCTCTCGACACAGGTGTCTCGCCCCCGCGGGAGCCGGGTTTTCACGGGGAAACCTGCCTGCCCTCCAGACACGGGGTGTCATTCCTGTCCCTTTCCCTCTCGCGACTCGACTCCCGTCGCCGCCCCTCCGCCTCTCCTCGACTCGACTCTCCTCCGTCGCCGCCCCTCCTCCGTCGCCTCGACTTCTGCTCCATCGCCATCACCTTGCAGCACCAGCACCTCTGTCTCCGCAGGTGAGCTCGCTTGCACTTGCATATCCCTGCACCGCATCTAGGGTTTTCTGATCCTATCCTCACATGTTTCCTGTGGATCTTGGGACTGCGGATGGCTGCATCTTCCTCCCCACTCTGCCTTGTGCATCCGCTAGCGAATCGCGACCGCTCGCACAGCTCTTCATCCGCCGCCCGCTGACCCGACCGCGACAGCTCCACCACTACTCCGTGACTGACCGGCCTCGTCGCAAGATCTGGTGAGCCATTGTACCATCCGCGAGAAACACCGACGTCGCCAGCAACACGACACAACCTCTGCCTCTACAGGTTAGTCTTCTGTCCACATCTCACACCCTTTCTTGTAGATCTGGGCAAAATAGCTACTAGGAAGATCCACCGTGCTGTACCAAGGTTGTTTCAGATCCAATTGCTTCATGTAGATTAAAGAACTCAACTGTTGAACTACTTTACTATTCATTAGCAGAGTGATTCTATGTTTCTTGTTTGTGATGTGAAAATAGATGTCATGAATTATGATTCTTCAATAATCGGTAGAGATTGTAATGTTCATTGGTGAGCTGGTTTGTGTTCAGAACACCATTGCAATAGAATAGGATGGCATGCTGTGATGGATTTTTTTCTAGCATTGCACAACAACTATATGCATGCTTATAACGGTCCAGACATATACTGGTTTGGACGTTTTGTAGTCTTGCTATTTTCTAGCATGCAGACTAGTATAGTAAGCGGTCACTACAGTAGCAATTTTCTGCAAGGTGATAGGGTTGTTTAAATCCAGGGGCTAAAGTTTAGGAGTGTGACATCGGATGTCACATGGGGGTATCATATCGAGTGTTCCTCCTAAGAGCATGCTCTCTCTAGTGCTCTGTTTTGCCAATTGTGGTTGTGGATTTGTGGTACTTGGCAGTTTTTTTATATATATGTAATAATATAATTTCATATATATAACACTAGATGGCTTCTTGGGAGGAGCTTGCTGGGAATTTTTTGTTGGAAGAGGAAGAAGAAGATGAGGAGCTATTCTTTGTTCTTCTCCCTGCTGTAATGCCCTTTCTCGACGAAGAGAAAACACCTGAGCATACCTCTTCTCTTCCTGGTGCTAAAAAGGTTAAAGAGATCCTCGAAGGACACGAGAATTGGTGCAAGAAAGAATTTAGGATGGAGGCTAAAATATTTAGAACTATAGCAAACTTTCTCAGGCTGAGAACTTGCTACGTGACACACGTGGTATGAAGATTGAGGAGCAACTTCGTCTTTTTATGTTCATGCTCTCTCATAATGCAAGCACAGATAGGCTAAAGAAGGAATTTCAACATAGTGGTGAGATAGTGCATAGGAAAATAAATGAGGTCTTCAATATCATTCAAACATTAACCCAAAAATTCATCAGACTTCCGAATCCAAACCACACACACGTGAAGATTATATGTGACCCTAGATTTATGCCATTCTTTTAGGTCGATTCACACTTCATACATACAATACACTTTCCTTAATACCATTCCTAAATACAATCCAAATCTTTAGTAATTTTCCTTACCTATAGAATTGCATCGGTGCTATTGATGGTATGCATGTACCAATCACAATTGGACAAGACAAGGCCAGTCCCTATAGAAATAGAAAAGGGATACCATCGCAGAATGTAATGTTTGCCTATGACTTCGACCTGAAGTTCACTTTCATCTCATCAGGTTGGGAAGGATCCGCATCTGATGCAGGAGTGTTGCGGTCCGCTCTTGGCAAGGGATTTACTGTGCCGGCAGGCAAATTCTATTTTGTAGACGGTGGATATGCAAACACACCATCATTCCTTGCTCCCTACCGAGGAGTCAAGTATCATCTCAGTGAGTTCAGGAGACGTGGCCAGAGGGGAAATGCATATGCCAACTACAAGGAATTGTTCAATCATCGGCATGCGATTCTTCGAAATCACATTGAGAGGGCCTTTGGGGTTCTCAAAAAGCGGTTTCCAATTCTGAAAGTGGGGACACATTACCCAATTGAATGTCAAGTTAAGATTCCAGTAGTTGTTGCTGTGTTTCACAACATCATTTGAGGGTTGAATGGGAGTGAAGAGTGGCTAGACATCCTACCTGATAATATCAATCCATCAAATTATGTCAACATGCCAGAGGGAGACACTAACTACCCAAGTGAGATGGAATCAAACGATGGAAATACCCTACGAGACCAGATAGCCCATCAGATGTGGGCTGCCTATAATGTGTAGGATAGTAGTGTTTGGAATGTAATTTAATAATACTTTGTATCTCTTTATGAGTCATGTATTTCTGTAATACTTTGTTTCTGATTTATGAGTTATGGGTTATGTATTTCTGTAATACATTCTGTGATGCAACATTCTCTAATACATTCTGCAATACGTTCTATACTACTTTATGAGTTATGTATTTCTGTAATACATTCTGTGATGCAACATTCTGTAATAAATTGTGCAATACATTCTATAATACTTTATGATTTATGTATTTCTGTAATACATTCTCACAATCCTGAATTATTTCTCGCAGCAATGTCGAAGGAAAGGGCAACATGGAACTGGAGATATGAGAAAGGGCTTGTTGACACTATGAGAGACCACGTGAACATCCCAATGTTCAGGGGTCAGAATGGATAGACTGGAGATGGTTGGAGAAGTATGTTAGAAAAGTTCAACCAGATGTTTCCTTTTGCACACTTCACAAAGCAACAACTACAAGAGAAGAAAAAGGAGTTAAAGGGCAGCTAGAAGGCGATACATGTAGCGAGACAGGAAAGTGGTGTTGGTTGGAATGACTCATTGGCCATGGTCATTGTGGAACTAGAAAAATGGAAGAAATTGATTAGTGTAAGAATTTTTCACTGAACCAAAAAATTGTTGCCATATTCTTGTTGTAAGCACTAACCATGCTATTGTCTTTGGTATTAAATGGGATAATGGAAAAATGGCTAGGTTCCAGAAGAAGTCGTTTCCTTTATATGAAGACTGTACGTCATTGTATGTTGGTATGTTATTTGAAACTTCTCTCTAAGGTTATGTAGCCTTATTGTTCTACTTGAGAGTAAAGCACCATCTAACTTGATAGTACGACTGTGCAGTGCTTTTAGTTTAAGTTATAGTATGAAGCTCAATCTGCACAAGACATCTCAAGTGCACGCAATGAAGCTCAATCTGCACCTTCCAATCAAGATTCTGTGCAAGGAGCGAGTGGTGGGAGAAAGCTTAAGCAAAGTCATATTGGTGCTGCTATTGAGGGTTTTGTGCAGTATAAGAAGATGCAAACAAGCAAAACCATGGAAGCTCTCAATGAAAAGAAGAAACAAGACGAAGAATGTTTAGTGGATGTAATGGAACTTACTGATGTGGAGAAGGCGTATGCTATGAATATCTTCAAATCTAAGATAGATAGGGAGGTATTCATAAAAATGAAAAATAAAAATGTTCGCTTGATTTGGCTCAAACAGCAGATTAGGTAATGCTTAGTTGCCACTGGATTAGTTTACTTTGGTATGTCTTAGCTGGTAATGCTTTCAGAGTGGAATATAGAAGGGAAAAGCAGTAGTACTATGGATATCTTAATACAGGATGAAATAGTTCAACCTTTTTCTTTAGTTGGTTGATGCCAATATATTTACTTCTTTTCGTAGTTGAATTTTGACAGGTTTAGCTGTTACCCTGTACAAAAGTGCCATCTTTTTTACTCTGTTTTCTCAAAAAGTATCTTAGCCATCCTTCTATGTAGGTCTGATTGAATTTGTTTCATCATTGTGTGACTGGTCTTGTGGAGCTTAGATGACTAACCTACAACAGCACCAAAACTTAACAACTTTTCCACATTTGTAATTTGCTTGCTGTGGCATGCCACATGTTTACCCTTGGTTCAAGTTGATGTATCCTAGCAGCACTAGATTAGTTTACCTTAGGTATGTCTCTAGCTATTAATGTTTTTCCTTGTTTACCTGCAGGGTTCTTGGTGTGGAAGCAAATGCATGATTTGAGAAGAAAATTGTTTTTACTAGCTGCAGTGCCTATGTGAGAAGCTTATGCAAAAGAGTTCCTTTTTTTTTCTCTCGAACACTGCTTATGAAAGGAGTTGAACCATAATTTTTTTTATTATGTCTTGGATATCTGGATGGATTTGATAAGTGATTTGGTGACAATCGCTAGGTTGAATTTGCTACTTGAATTAAACTTTCTATGTATTGGACTATGTCAAATAATTTTGGTCTTGTGATTTTTCATGCATTATGTTCATGAAAATGTTGTGGTTGGCATTGATATGTGGTGATTTCCTTATATTATTTAAAAAATTCTGTTTTTCTTGATTTTATAAGACATTGTTTTCAATTTTCTAAGACGTACCAAGGTTTTGCATACCAAGCTGTGGCGTGCAGCTGCAGTAGACCTTCTATAGTATCGTGCAGTTCAGTGCGGTTCAGAAGTAGCAACAGCAGTTGCATGCTGCAGCGAACGGGCTGATCTCTGGACAACCTGTTGCCAAACGACAACAGGTAAGCCCCCCACGACGTGGAAATCCCCACTGGGTAGAGGCGGGAATCAAATTTCAAAAAATTTCGCCGGTCGGGGGGTTCCTGTCCATGGGCTTATATGCACCTGTTGCCAAAGTAGGCCTTAGGGTGTGTGTACGTGGGAAACTCCGCCTTGGTCCAGATGGGTGGGCGATAATGATATTTTTTTATTGGAGGCATTGCCATGGAGCTTCCTTAACATACACCACCTTGTGTGGAGTTTCTAGGATTTAGAGTTTCTCCTCGTTTGATTTGTTGCATTCTTTCTTTCTTTTTAGTCTATATATGCTCGTGTGCAGGTTGAGTTGAGATATCGGGCTAGGATTGTATTCCTGAGGAACTTGCCCTTGAGCATAGTTGTTGTCCCGGAGGGTTTAGCTAGCAATATTTCGTGAAGTTGTTGCCCTTTTAAGTTCTACTAGTGTGTACCAGCGACGAGTTGTTTGCCCTAGTACTAGCATGCCCGTGTGTTGCTACGGGACAGCTAAACTTTTATATTAAAAACACACGGATCGTACGATAAGAAAATAATATTGAGAAATTAAATACCGATGTTAAAATGATATTTAATCAAAAAGCAGAGTTCGTGAAATTAACACACGGAGAGCGTGGCGTCACAGGCTCACAAACTCTACTGTATAGACCTTTCCGTGATGCAGGTAAGATAATGTTCACTCACCTTGGTAAATGCCCGTGTGTTGCAATAGGAAACAAAATTTTCAATACCGACACAAAGAACACTTATTCAGCACAGCAAGCAACATGCAAGGTTCACAGTGCATTCGAGAAGAGATATGCATGACCAGAGAAATACAGGCTTGTTTTTTTCATGAGAAACCAACTTGGGTTCATTACACCTATCATATCTGATAGCTGAGCAGACAACTGAAATATTGGTGTTCACTTTTACAAGAAATACTTTTATTAACACTCTCGCTAGGAAGTAGTTGAACAAATATTACAATCTACATAATCTTAGAATCATCTGTTTCGAGCCATATTAACGACCATGACAATAATATGATTGTTAACCATCGGTGATAAAGCAAGCACTGAGTAGTGTTCTCGTGCATGAAACATATGGCATGTGAAAAATTACTTTGCATCTGGCAATGTTCTCCGAGGATTTGGTTTTCTAGAATGCTCAATAGCCCAACAAGAAATAGGAAGGCCACACCTTTCAGAACCCGTGATATGATGGCTCCTTTCTGGCTTTGATTTCCCTGCAAGCAATCATGCATGAGAACTCTGATATGATAATAAAATAGAATTGGACATAAATAGAATCCGACTACAAGCTAATTTGAAGCAAAACCAATCTCTGGACCAAATAAATGGATCCTAACTTCCCAAAAAATTACAAAAAAAAACCCTCACAATTGGATTTTATGAAATATACACTGATACAAGAAAAGAAAATTTAGGTACATAAATAAAAAATATTTGTTTGACCAATATAGTCTTCTACAGTACCAGGGTATTCTCAATAATTCAATTCCTAATTTGGTCATTACATTAGTATTAACACACCTTTGATAACACATTGTTTAGGAAAAAATCTATCACACATGACACTTCATATCTACCTAAACACTCTTTTGCCCCTTGGCTTTGGTGAGAGTTGTACCTCGGCAGTCCATCCTTGGGAAGGAGAGGTTCCTCAGCAGCCCATCCTTGGGGAGGAGACGTTCTGATGTGGCATCCAAATGATCTGACCATCGAATAGTCGAGACTTCACTACGGTATTACATCGTGCATGGTAGGCCTTCATCTTCCAACAACTATCATGGAGCAGTTTTCTTAACATGAAGCAGTAGCTTGCTATCTGGAAATGACTCATGTTCGGGTAGTCTTCTAGGCTTCTAACTAACTGTGACAGTTTTAGGTAGTCAAGATGAATAAAGGAACTGTATAATCAAATTGCGATCTACTTATCAGAAAAGAAATATTACATTGCATCCATACTGAGTACATATTGCAGAATAATAATCGTTGATCTGACAAATGAAAATTCAGGATAATTTGATATGTCTCATTTCTTATCCTTTCTTTATACCTTGTAGAAAATTAATAGTAATCAAGCATTAAGAAAAGCCTACCTTCCTAAGACATCTTTGCAATTTCAGACCACCTGTGTCCAATAATTTATTGAGTCTGCACGACGGTGACAAGCATATAAGAGTATACAGTTTTATTTATATAGCAAGTGAACGAGTATATGCCTTATCAACAATCTAAGAGTATACAGTTTTAATTTACAGTGCACGGGCTTGCCGCCGGCGGCAGTGGAGATGGCCCAGCGAACAAGCCATGGGGTCGGGGAGGCGACCTTTGTGACGGGGACTCACGGACTCACCGGCGTTGATGGTAATGGTGGCCCAGTGCTTGGACCGCGTGGCATCGTCATCGACAGCGACAGCGGTTCATCGCGGCGGACGGCCTAAGGGAGACGTGCTACGTTCATTATGACTTCAGCACCATTCAAAACCCTTCAAAACCTGATGAAAATAACTGAATAAGCCGATGCTGGTGACACAAAATTGCACAGTGCATAATACTTTCCTAGAAACTATTCAAGTCAACTCATTCAAAATTATAACACTAACTAAAAAACTTAAAAACTAAAGTTCAAGAAAACCGAATATAAACTTCAACTTGTCTAAAACTCATCATGCTAGGAAGCAAAGTGACCGGTTTAGTAGGAGGTTTCAGTCTCTGTTTTCTTATTCTATTCGCTTACTATTCTGAAAGCCAGAACAGCTTGAAAACATCAAGGCATAGCTGTAAGCTAATTGAAAGGCACGGTCTTATATGTTCTAAACATGACCAAAATCCAGTAATTTTCAGCGATGTTTTGCAACAAAAAAATCAGGATCAAGACATCGGCCATTGGAGCTGCCAAAGGAACCTAAATCATCATTTGCATCTATCCCTCCCGTAAATCAACAAATTGATGCACAAAACCTGGGGTGGGAGCATGCAGGTCCTCCGCGCGCGAGAGAGTAAAGGCCCGACGCGGCCTCGTCGTCGAGGGGCTAAAGCCATGTTAGGGCGCCACCCCACGGACCCGAGCGCCGCCGGAAGAAGGAGGAGGTCCCGCCGGTTCCCTCTTCCTTGCGCTAGCTCCCGGTCGCCAGTGCTCGTCGCGAGAAGAAGGCAGCACGCGCACGCTAGCCCTCGAACCATCCCAGTTCCGACGGGCCGAGGGAAACGCAGCGTGGGCCATCCCCGTCAAGGGTGCGGAAAGATCAAAGCGGTGACGGCGTTTTCTCTCCCGGCCGCGGGCGAGCGCAGGAAGGGCAGGCACGGGCGATTTCCTTTTCCTCCGGGACTGGGTTATTGCGCGGTGATTGAACGATCCAAAGAGCCTATCTCGCACACAAAAAAATAAAAAAAAAATGGAAGGATCTGTCTCCTCGAATCACGGTGTTTGTTCTATAACTGTGAATGTCCGATTTGGGAAGATAATTTTACATTAGGAATAATATACTATATCTAAATTATCCTAACCACTTTTATATATTCTTTTCCTTTCATACATTTGTATCTGGAATCATTTCTTATTCTTTATTTTTTCCCATCCTTCCACCTGCCGGCGCACGTTGGGAAGTGTTGCGGGATCACACGGGGAGAAGCAAAGCGACGACTGGAAAATTATCGCACCAGCCTGTTCGGGAGGCCGTATCGTATCGTGGATTATTTACTGTTGGCTGGTTTGGTGTGAGAGAAAAATACTGTTCCTGGCTGGAAATTTACGATCGTTTACGAGCAAGCGAACAGGCTGCTACTTGTCTTATTTTTGTTCTTTTTAGTTGTAGGAGATGTTGTTGCCAAGAAAAGTTCTTCAGTGAGGTTGTCTTGCAGAAAAATACAGAATTGTTTAATTGTGCTCAATTCAGTTTTTGACGGAGTGATTACCTCATAGCTGTGTGATTTTTGAATTGTTTTCCTTTTAAAACTAGACTAGTTCCTTTTTTCTAATAATATAATATTATAGCTAAGCAAATGCTTTTGCTGTCTTAAAAAATCTTTTCTCGTAAGAATTAAGAATCACAAAATTTGCTAGTGCAACATTTAGGAGTATATTTTCTCCACGATAATGATACAATTAAGACGCTCGGACGAATGAACGCCTCCCTTCGCTCAGTCCCGCACGCGTCGTTCGCCTAGCGACCCTATCCACCCGTTCGTCCGCGCGCCCCAATGTTCCCTACGCCATTTCCTCCCTGTGTCGCCGTGCTCATCCGCCTTGCCGCCTCCGGTCCCCTGCAGCACCGCGCTCCATCCCCTACAGCCTCCTCCATGCTGCCTCCCCGCGCTGCCTCTTCACCGTGGGCGGCCTACGAGCCGCGGCCGTCTCCACCGAGCTGGCGAGCCTCCACGACGGATGCTCTAGCAAGCAAGCGAGGGGGACAAGATTCGTGTGACGCCGTGCCCACCGGCGAGTTGCCCATGCCGCTGCCG